GGGCCTTCCCTCCCCGGAGGGCACAGCCTGGGGTCCCCGCAATGTGAGGGGACGGCGCCCCCGACTGGGCCGATCTGCTTGGCAGAAAGCGGGAGGGATGGTGCGCTGTGGGCCCGTGTGCCCGTCACTAGGTTTGGCAGCCTCTCCCGCGGGCAGATCGGGGCCCGCTGCCTCCTGGCCCTGGTTCACCTGCCCGCGTGCGGCCCTGCGGGGTTCGGGGTTCAGTATCGAGGCTGAGGCTTCACCTGCCCGGGTGTTGGGGGGGGGGGGGTCCTGGAAGGCTCGAGCGGGGGATTTCAGAACAAAACAAAACAAAACAAACAAGCGAGTGTTTTGTGGTCCCTGAAGGGCTTCCGGTTGCCCCAGGGGTGGTGACACCCTCTAGTGTGGCCTCGGAATTGGGTCGCCCTGTTCCTGTGACCCGAGCATTTAAGACCAATTGGGGGGGGGGTCTCAACCGGGAGGAGGAGTTTTTCCCCAGGTGGTGGTTTGTGCGCTGACACAACTTAAACGTGGGCCCCTCGCGGGAAGGGGGCTGGCGAACGCCATGGGGAACCCCCGGGGGGATGGGGAGCTCGCACACGGGGCTCTTCAGCCGGGAGGCCCTGGTTTTGCAAGTGAGTTTCACAACCCAATCGGCTTAATAGATAAAATGTCTGGGTGGCGCCGCTGCCAACGCTGCCAACCCAAAGGGTCAGCTCTCCTCCACCCTCTCCTTCCCCGCAACTCATTAAGCGGGACCTGGGACCCAGGAAGGCCAGGAGGGGCCCGGGTCGGGCCGGGCCGGGCCGGGCCGGCCTCTAGTTCCTGTGGGAAGGAAGGCGAGGCCTGGCACAGCGCAGGGATGAGGCCGGCTGCCCAAACCCAGGTGGGCCTGGGTGCTGTCCCGCAGCGCGGCCTCCTGCTGTCAGTTTACCAGGCTGGGCGCTGGGCCGCAGTGGCGATGGCACGGGGTGCCGATGGCAGGAGGGCAGAGGGCCTGTGCTCTTCAAAACCAAAGTCAGGAGCCTCTCCTGCCACGGGCAGGCGGGCGCAGGCGGACGTGGGCGGAGAGCAGGGTGCAGAGCAAAGTCACGGCTTCCGATGCAGATCTGGCCGAGCTGGGGTTTAACATTCATCCACGCAGTCAAGTAGCGCTGCCAACGGGGCGGAATCAGGCCTTAAAAATGAAAGCGGCCGAGTCTGCAGGGAACAGGGAGATCACGCAGCCACTGATCAGATAGTGTGACACACCTGCTTCCCTGTAACCTTGTCCTCAAAGCAGACGCAAGCAGGAGGTGACAGGATGTGACCGGAAGGCAGGGCTGCTGAGCGTGGGACCCCAGAGGCCTGTGTGTCCTCTGGTAACACCCACCTTGAACTGCGCCAGCGAGGGCCAGGTCCTCCGCGCACGTCGCCCTGTCACCTCCGGACCGGGTGAGGTTGGCCGTGGTGCCTCCACTTCCACGTGGAGACGGCGTGCTGTGGTCTTGCACGGCACACGTGGCTGGAGGTTGAGACCGTGTCTTGCTCCCCAGGTCTGGGCTCCTTGCCGCTCGGCCGTACGGTGACCTCCCCTTCGGGTCTGCAGAGGCGAGCACGGTGCGCCGGCTGGTTGGTTCCGCTGGCAGGCTCCTCCCGAGCTGTCCCTCTGGCATCGGGCTCCTTGCCCTGGCAGCAGGGACAGTGTCCTCCTGCTCCCAGGGGCCAGGCCTGGGGAAGTGCTGAGCGAGCTCTCTGCGCTGGGGCTGGGCACTGGGAGCCTCGTGAGCTCCGCATCCAGATTCCGTCCTGCTCCCCGGTCCTCGCCGGCAGCGCACAGAGCGCCACGCGAGTGCCTGCTGCTGGCTCGCCCCGGGGCCTGTGCTCCAGTGTGGCCTGGCCTTCTTACCTGTCCTCTAGCGTGACAGCCAGTTCTGAGAGCTGTCACCCAGGACCCCCCCTTGGCCTCTGGTCAGGCGTTGGGTAGCGAGCGTGGCCTTTAGGACACTGATCCGGCACAGCCGGTGTCAGGCTCTGGATGAACCGCTCGGGGTGCCATGGGTGTGGGTCCTGAGCATTTTCCTCCTGCCGGGCTACGTGCCCTGGGCCACCAGGAGTGGGGGGAGGACAGAGGGAGCACTCTGCCCTGCTCACCTGTCTTCAGAGACTAAGGGAGCCACCGCGCCTCTTAGGGAGCGAGGGGTGGGACATGGGGAGACTGGTTCGTGAGGCTTCCCTGTGGCTGCTCTTCTAGGGTTAGGCAGGCTCTTTGTCACACCTGGATGCTGAGTAGAGAAAGCCAGCCCATCTCCAGCTGAGGGCCAGTGACACCTTCCCGTCCCTCAGGTGTAGCACGAAGCCTGGGAGCAGCACTCGGGGAGGCTAGGCTGGCTGGGAGTTGGGGGTCACGGTGGGCAGGCACGTGGGAGTCCCTGAACTCCCGCACCGCCTGGCTCAGCGGAGGAAAGTCTCCGCCACTGGCTCATTTTCAGGGACGTGTAGGTGAGAGCTGGTAAGGCGGGCGGTTGTGAGGGTCTGGGATCCTGTAACTGACTGTTCCCCCCCCCCCCCAGGCTCTCCCCACCGTCTGCCTCCGGCAGCGTCCCGACTCCCTCCCAAGAGCAGCCCCTGGCCCTCAGGCCCGACAGCGATGTACGGAGCACGGGCAGGTGCTGCCCGATGCTTGGTGCCCGCTCTGCTCTGCTCTCCCGGGGACACTGACTTGGGACTGTCCAGGCCAGCATGGTGTGGGCTCCGTGGCCAAGTCTGAACCCTGGTGACCAAAACACATGTAGGAAATAAGATGAAAATGGGTCTGGTCTCTGTTATGAAACGGTTTTTCCTTCGTGCCCAGTCCAAGCAGGTGTCACTAGAGGCTGCCGTTGACGGGCTCTGAGCCAGCCAGGCCTGTAACACGGGGTCGCCTCACCCAGGCCGCTTCCCTTGGGAAGTCAGGTAGCAGCCTCGCTCAGCGCGAGAATACCTGGGGGGCTGCGCCTGCCCAGCGCGAGGAGACGGCCATCTCCGTGGTGTCTGCGGGGGGAGGAGTGATTACGTGTCTGGAGGGAAGGTTCTCTCTGCTCTTTAATCCTCTTGACCCAGACACTCAAATTAAGAGTGCAGACTCACCACGGAGGCTGAGCCAGCCTCCGTCCGCCTCGTGGGCTGCGGCGCCCGCCCGTGTGGGACGGCTCAGACCACAGCCCAACTGGGAGGCCAGTCAGCACCGCCGATGTTGGTCCCTGTGCTGCCTTTCGGGGTCACTTCCCAGCCTGGGGTCCCACCAGGCTCCAGTCCCTGAGTCGGCCCCGCCTCGCCGGGCTTCTCCCAGGCTGAGCATCAGGTGAGGCCGTGCCGTTGCCAGGGCTCCCCTCAGAGCCCAGGAGGTCTGTCTGCTCGGCGCTGGGGGTGACTGCACCGTTGCTGGGCATTTCAGGAGCATGTGGGCCGTGAGGCAGAAATGGGAGGGCGTATGGCGTCAGCGGTCCCCGAACCCCCTGATCTGATGCGGTGTGTGTGTTTACACCAAGTGTACCTGCACCCTGTGTTTGTTCTCTACATGCACCTCAAAATTTACGTGGGAGTACTTGGGACCTCTTCTTTAGCAGGCTCTTTTCTCCTCTCCTGCTTATTAAAGTCGGAGCGAACCTTAGCGACCTTTAGTCCAGCTGCCCTCACTTTGTAGAAGGGTAGCACAGACACCGCGCCCCCCCAAAGTAACTCGGTTTGTCCCTGGTCACACAGTGCACCGGCTGGTGGGTGGCGGAGCCAGGAGGAGGACCCAGGCCTCGGCCTCAGCCCGTGGTCATGTCCCACGCCTGCTAGGCTGTCTGTCCATCCTGTGACCTCTGCCACCACTTCAGTGGGGTGAAAGGCTGAGCAAACGTGTGCGGAATTGACAGCTTGGGGCTCAAGCTCAGTAGGTGGGAAGAGAAGGGGCACAATCCTTCTCCCCCCCCCCCCCCTTCCAGGTGAGGAGGCTTCTCTGTGCTCACGAGCCAAAGCTGATGAATGAAACTAAACATCCAGAGGCCATTAACTGCGATGGGAGCTTTAGCACTTTCTAGCACTATGAAGCAACTTTCCAAAATGCCAAAATTAAGACATGCTCACGGATGCACCTTCGTTTAGTCCCACAATAGGTTTAATCAGCCTCAGAGGGGCTGTGGCATTAATCTGATGGACCCGTGAGGCCAGGCTCAGGGATGCCCTTTAGACTCTCGCTTGCTGACACATCACTCCTGTGGGTGGGCCCGGTCTCCCCGGCTTCCTGCTGTGTTATCGGCGCCCTGGCAGTTCCATCCCTTCCTATCTCAGCCTCTCGCGTCGGTAAGAGAATGTGCACGGGAACACCTGGTGACGTTTGTACCTCAGTTTCCACGTGTGCTGGTCTCCCAGTCAGCCGTCATAAATGGCATGGCGCCCTGGCCGGTGTGGCAGTGGACAGAGCATCGGCCTGCAGACTGAAGGGTCCCGGGTTCGATTCTGGTCAAGGGCACATGCCCGCTGTTGCGGGCTCCATCCTCAGTAGGGGGCGTGCAGGAGGCAGCCAATCAATGAATCTGTTTCATCACTGATGTTTCTATCTCTCCCTCTTCCTTCCTCTCTGAAATCAATTTAGAAAAAAAATATATATATATTAAAAGTTTTAAAAAGATAAATAAAAATAAATGGCACGGCTAGCATGGAGCGGGGGAGTTACAAATGGGCCTCTCTCTGCATGGGCCAGTGATTTGACACTTGTCTCCTTGCTGTTGGACCAGCGGGCCATCCCATTCGTTAGCGTGTTTGTAATGTGCTTTGGCCTAACGACCCCCAGGTTCAGGGTTTATTCACAGTTGTGCGCACACGCGTGCCCAGGCCCGACCTTGAGCTCTCGGGAGGGTAAGGCTGGGAGGTGCCCTGTGGTCCTGACTGCACACCGTGGGCCGGAGCCGGGCCTTCCCTCCCACTGCCGCGGAGAGGCTGGGTGGGTGTGCGTGCGTGAGCTTCCTGCTGGCCCACAGCGAGGCCCTCCAGGCCTGGGACCCTGGCCGGAACCTACTCGGACTCTCGTCTCAAGAGCACGCTCAGCTCTCTTCCGGCTGGAGGGGCTCTGAGCACCGCCAGGGTGGCTGGGTGGCGTGGGCACCGACCTGGGCGAGCCCCTCTCCCCGCGGGACCCTAGCTGGCTGATGCCCTTGCCTGAGATTAGAGGCCGTGTCTTGGGGCAGTTCTTGTGGGACAGCGTAGGTGCCACTGCACGTGTCTGCTGAGATGATAGTCATAGCAGAGTGTCACACTGTCACCCGGCGGGGTCTAGGCTGCCGGGAACTTGTGCAGGTTCTCCTGCGCCCACACATGCTGGGAGCAGGTGCTGAGAGTCCCACGCACGGTGCCCAAGAAGCGCCTGGCGGGCCGGGGGCTCTGCCGCAGCCCCTCACCGGGATGTCTGTGGCCCGACAGTTCCTCCGAGTCACGAAGCAGTACCTCCCGCACGTGGCGCGCCTCTGCCTGATCAGCACCTTCCTGGAGGACGGCGTGCGCATGTGGTTCCAGTGGGGCGAGCAGCGGGACTACATCGACAGCACCTGGGGCTGTGGCTACCTGGTGGCCTCCACCTTCGTGCTCCTCAACCTGCTCGGACAGCTGAGTAAGTGGCTCCCTCGCTGACAGCAGGGGTCAGCCCCGGGGACTGCTGGGGGCTTCCTGAAGGAAGGGGCAGCCCCGTGTCTGCGTTCCCAGAGCAGATGCAGTGAGCTGGGGCAGTGAGCAGCCCTGGTGTCGGGAAGGGTAAATCAGGGAAGGAGAAGGGAGAGACGAGGCCTCGCTTCTGCTCCTGGTGGCAGCCTCAGCCCTGTACATGCAGGGCCGGACCTTGCACTTCCCGCCTGTCCTGCGGGTGCTGCAGGGCCTGTGATGGCGGTCCCGCTGACGGCGTGGGGGTGCCTGCCTCCCCTTCCCCCTCCCACACCTGGATTTTTGCCTGTGGCAGGTAGTTGGGCTGCTGCTGCACCTGAGGCCGGGTGAGGCAGCAGCCACTGTGGCAGGGGCCCTTCACCCGTCGCCCCTGACCCGCGCCTTCTCCTTCCAGCGGGCTGCATCCTGGTGCTGAGTAGGAACTTCGTGCAGCACGCCTGCTTCGGGCTCTTCGGCATCATCGCGCTGCAGGTAAACGGCGGGCGGGCGGGGTCTCGCCCAGGAACAATGGCTGCCGGTAACCGGGTGGGGCCTTGCCTTCTTGCTCGGGTTGGAGCAGAGCCTCTCGAAAGGCCTTTCGAGGAGTCGCCCTGGAACTCCTTCCCGAGAAGGGGCTCAGTTTTCCTCAAGGCAAACGCAGGAGAAGCGGACGGCCATCCGGGCTGGCCCTTGCCTGGGTTTGCCTTGACCAGGGAGGAAGTCACCAGGCTGGCTGCCGCCAGGACCCCATTCCTGTCATTTCCTTCATTCAGGCTGCCTAGCTACTCGGGTGCGGTCTTCGCCCACCTGTGCTCTGGGTCGTGGTCTCAGGTCCGCCCTGTTCTCCGGGGCACACCAGGGGCCAGCTCTGGGGCACTGAGCCGAGCTTGGCCTCGGAGCTGTCCTGGAGTCCTGCAGTGGTTTTGTGTATCTTAGGTTTAAAAACTGGCCTCATGCTATTCATTTGGTAGAAAAGCAGGTGCTTGGAAATGCTGACACTCACCTTTTCTCTGCCCTCTGTCCCCCCAGACGATTGCCTACAGCATTTTATGGGACTTGAAGTTTTTGATGAGGTACGTGTGTCTGGTTGGAGGGGTCACCCTACCTCCTCCCATCTAACCTCGGTGCTGTAACTGTCCATTGAGTCAACTTCTGGGGTCAAGACTGTGCTCCTTAGACTCTGTGGTGGGTGTTGGCAGAGCCTTCACCCCCACCCGGGGCCCTCAGGACACGTGAGCACGCACTTGCCTCTCCTGACCCGGGTTTCACGAGGGAGGGGAGGGTCCCAGTGGAACCGCTGCTCACAGGAGCCAGCTGCTCAGCAGTGAAGGTTCCGGGCGTGCTCCAGCGACGGCCGCTGTCTAGTGCACAGACACGGATGTGTCTTCAGGCCGAGTCCCGCTTGGTCTGCAGAGAGGGGGCAGGGCCGAGGTCTCCCGGCTGGTCTGGCGGCCCTCGGCCTGGGCCTGAGCGCTGCCTGGCGTCTCCCTCAGGAACCTGGCCCTGGGCGGGGGCTTGCTGCTGCTCCTGGCGGAGTCCCGCTCGGAGGGGAAGAGCATGTTCGCGGGCGTCCCCACCATGCGCGAGAGCTCCCCCAAGCAGTACATGCAGCTGGGAGGCCGGGTCCTGCTGGTGCTGATGTTCATGACCCTCCTTCACTTCGACGCCAGCTTCTTCTCCGTGAGTCCTGCTCGCCTCGCCCCTGCCCTGCCCCTGCCCCTGCCCCTGCCCCTGCCCTGCCCCTGCCCTGGTGTGGACGAAGCAGAGCCCAAGGCCACGAAGGCCGAGGCTTTTGATCCTATTAAAGAACAAACTGTCAGGTTCTTATGTGCCCAGAACCTGCCTCCGAACAAATGAAGTCCAGCCTCGTGGACCTCGCTGGAGGGTCCTGGCGCCAGTCCTCCCAGACTCCTCCTTCCTCACCTTTATCTCATGACCTTTGTGAGCCGGGTGTTGGGCGTGCAGAGTTGAAGAAGGTTCTGGCTTTGTCCCCCTGGAGTTTACAGAGCAGGTCTTTGTTACCGAGTGTGCGCCCTGCCTGGCGAGGTTCCCAGGAACGCCCGGCCGTCCCGGCGTGGAGGCCCCTGGGCTCCAGCTTGAGCGGCTTGGGAGACCTCGGCCTGCGCTGAGCGCTGCTTCATCTGCCCCAGCCCCCTTCTCATCCCACTGTCACAGCCCCACCTGTCACCATCCCACAGTCACAGTCCCACCGTCACAGCCCCACCTGTCACCGTCCCACAGTCACAGCCCCACCTGTCACCATCCCACAGTCACAGTCCCACAGTCACAGCCCCACCTGTCACCATCCCACAGTCACAGTCCCACAGTCACAGCCCCACCTGTCACCGTCCCACAGTCACAGCCCCACCTGTCACCATCCCACCGTCACAGCCCCACCTATCACCATCCCACAGTCACAGTCCCACAGTCACAGTCCCACCGTCACAGCCCCACCTATCACCATCCCACAGTCACAGTCCCACAGTCACAGCTCCACCTGTCACCATCCCACCGTCACAGTCCCACCTGTCACCATCCCACAGTCACAGTCCCACAGTCACAGCCCCACCTGTCAGCATCCCACAGTCACAGATTCCAAGTTAGAGCCCCAACTGTCGCGATCCTACAGTTACAGTCCGACATTTATAGTCCCAACTGTTTACTTTCAAAGTGAAAGCCCCCCTGTGAAAAACTCACAGTTCAACACCACCCTTTAATAATCCCCCAGTCAAGACCCACCTTGTATGGTTTCCCCCCTGTCAAAGGGCCCAGGTGTAACAGTCCCACAGTG